ATTTTGTAATTTTGCTTTAATGGTATTTGATAGTAACAGAAAAATTCAGTAAGTTTATATTTATATTTGGTTTTATACTAAGTCGTATAAAGTGGTAGATAGAGCGCAAAAGCAACAAAATTAAATTACAAACAAATCGTGAGAATGGGAGCTAGATTTACACCTGTTAAAAAGAATTGTATGACTTAGATTTTAACACAAACACACTTGTCATAGGCTAGCTACACCTATTGTAACTTCTGCGGCTAGCTATTGGTCACTGTTTGGTGTTTGTTTGAGTGTGTTTGGATCATAAAAAAACAAACATATTTCAGCCACTACATGAATAGCTTCCCAATGAGATTGAAGAAAAACTTCAAGACAAAATGGCTAAGCTAAATCTAGTTTATGATAATGTTAAGTGCTGTTAGGAGGAGATTGAAACAGCACTAGACCGTCAATAAGCACATCAATCTTAAGAATCATAGTGTGAACTATACTCTAATACAGGTCCATAGAACACGTGTGCCATTAGGGGAGAGAAAACCCTAACATACCTCGATTTTGAAGGAGAAAGAGAAGGCATGAGAGAAATGGTATAATAATACTTGTTTAACCTTCCAAAAAAAAAAAAAAAACCTTTAGGAGTCATCCAAACCAACATGAATTTGTTCTGATTTTTACAAGAGTTGGGCTGAAATATTTAAACATAACACGACTTTGTCATATATATGTATGTTTATACATGATTTTAACACACACACACTGGCCATAGGCCTAAATACCACACATTCACTAGTACATAATGGAACACATACACAAAACTAGTAGTAATCATGATGCAACTAATAAGCTCCATATGATCAAAGTAGTTTCATGGCTTATTTATCATTAAGCAGTAGTTGCCATGGACTGATATAGATATATATTCAAAGCATATAATTTTAAATTTTTAAGCTCATTACATCAACAAATTATAGAGCATTTCATTTTATTTTCGTCCAAATCTGAAAGCAACCTTACAAATCAACACATAATTTCATAACCACACACATGATCCAAAATCAAAGAGAGATACCATTTTAATGGAAATATCAAAATATAGTTAAAACCATTAATACTGACCATGGTTATATCCATTTGAAATTTTAAATTCACATTGTCAGTTACAACCAATACACACCACAATATTACTCAATAGCTATGAGTAGTATCAATTCACTCCGTTAGAAAATAACATCTATGTAAAATCAGCTATATCTGTATCCTCCTACAAAAAGAGTCAGAATTTATTAATTTTTTACTATTATTTTTTACATGGAAATTGAATCCTTATTTGGAAGCGACATGAGATACCACTCAAGCTGAGTCGCGATGGGGAAGGGTGGTAATAGAAGTGGAAAAAGTAAGTAATACAAAAAAGAAAAAATGGTTCCTATTAGAAAGAATTCTAAAACTTAACAATTTGTTCAATTTTAAGATAACCAGACTATTTACAGGAATCTTCCATGCCCACATAGTCAAAGGGCCAAAGAAGAATGATTTTATTTGTTTTGGTAGCTTTTTTCATTCAAGCTATATATTCAAGGCTCTTTGATGACTGCAGACTAAATCCTCAGCAGAACCTAATTGGTAATGTGTTTTACTGCCTGTCCCCAAGAATTATTTGTTCACATACAAGAATCATTTGTTCACATAAGCAGAACTACTAAATACATACTGGTGCAAGATAATATATTAAACCAATTAGAGTATTCTGCCACGGTGCAACATACCACCAACTCAGCATATCAGCTGATCCTTAGCATTAATCAACTACTGAACAAAGAAAAATCAAAACCTATAATCAAATAAAACTAAGGCACAGTTGAGAAACAGCTTAAAAGTCAGAGACCTGAAGAGACTTAATTTACTTCATATAAATTATCATTAGATGAATTATGAATTATGCCACTTGTGTGGCTTTGAAGTCTTATTATCCTAACAACTAACTAGGATTATTTTTGTTGATGAATCTGAAATATGTGCATATTTATATTTGTGGTATTGTTCATTAAAGACTGATATACTTTCAATCAAACCTCCTCCAGTTTGCCATCAATCGAAGCAAGTCTTAAGCCCTAAATGATAACACATGGCTCAGATTCCTTTGTCTGATCAATAAGCAAATCGTAACTTTTTCTGTTCAATTCCTTCGTCTTGATTCCTTTTTCACACACACTCGCTAACACATGCACACATATGTATATATATCTGTGTGTATATATTGAACATATTGCAATTGGATTTTATTTCTTTTCGTCATTAATCTATGCTCCTTTGCTTTTGAAAAAAGAAAAAAACATATATAAGTATTTGATGGTGGACTTGTTGGATTAGTTTACGAGCCTTGTAGGATTAGTCTCAACATGGAAATCCAAAAAATTTGATATCAAATGGTTATAAAAAATTTGAGATCAAGTTTGGATTTTGGTGGATTAGGACCTTTAGATTTTATTTATTTAACGTCGCTAAATCATTTAAAATTAGATAACCAATACTATACTAATTTCTTCAAATTTTAGCAATTTTTAAATAATTAAATTAGATGGAGACCTTTTAGCCTGCCCTAGACACCAAAGTAGGCAATAGTTCAATCATTTCCTGCTGGACTGAGTATGTAGCATATAGGTTTCATCATCCCATTTATCTTAATTTGCTGCTCATCATTGTGGAATGTGGACCCCAGTTTTAAAGCAAATTAAATAAACAGTGCTCCATTGATGTGGATTATTATTCTCTTAATGGATTTGTCAAAATGACTCAAAAAAATGTGATCTTGGAGGCATACTTCATTAAGCAGAAGAAAACAAAGTGTATAAGAAAAAGAAAAGTTGGAAAGGATAACCTTAAAAAGCTTTCTTTTATCTCCTAAACTCCAAAGATAACAATGAGCAGCAAGTGTTCATTTGAATACATTTATAAATCATAATCCAACGTAATAGATGGGTATTTTATATTAAATAATATTTCTTTGTCATAATGGGTGATGTGTGAAAATCATTTGTTGGTCAGTTATTCAAATTCCAACCTTTGTTAACGATAGCATTCTCTATATATTTAAATTACTTCTTCTAAGTTTGATCTAGTGTTGTGTGTGTATATACATATACACATTATATGCATATATATACACACACACATATTCTATTTCTTCATTCCATAGTCTTAAATCTTTAACTAGGAATTTAGGAGTTAAAATTCAAAGCCACCAACACATAGGTAGTCCAATTAGTTTTTATGTATAATTAATTATTATAACTCAATTTAGATCAAGAATTATTCAAGATTGTTGCCTCTTTCTCAAATGGCATGTAGAGTATACCTCTGTGTAATGTGTCTTTAGGCATCTACACACATGATAGGATTGATGCAAAAGCTAGCAAACTCTATAAATGAGGCTTTTTTAATATATATATTTAGTATTAATTTATCAAAAATATATATATTTAGTATTAATTTATTATTCCAACATTCCCTTGTACTTGTCTCCCCCATTTTCAAGACTTACACATATAAATTATGTGTGTGAAAAATATTCAACACTCTGCTCTCTCTCTATTTAACTCGCAATTTTTTATTTTCAATTTATATTGTCCCATTTGACTCTCAATTCATCTCATAATCTCCCTCATCTTGTATATATGTTTGTTGTACACATAGTGATACAATTATCTAGTAATCAATGGCATTGATTTTGTGGTTGTATTTTGATTTGAAAAAGGTCTATAGTGTGTGTTTAGGAAAACTTTAATCTTGACACCGCCTATCCCTATTGAGGGAATTGGTAGTGTTTCGCTGTAAATAGATCTCTAAATTACATTATATAATTATGATATTTAATTTTTTATATTTCATTATTTTTTGAACTTCATATTTAGTTTTTTTTTTTTTTTTTTAACTAATGAGTCAATTTTCGAAGCAGTTGGAGAAATGGATGAGAGACAAATTATATGCTATTGTCGATTTGATGGGAAAATTGACAAAAATGAGAATGGGGAAATTACATACATTGGCGGTGTCATAGACCCTTTTATGATAACAACAACAACAACATATGAATCATTTATAAATGAGTTACAACAACGTTCATCTTCAAACATGAGTGGTAAAGTCATATATTATACCACCGAATCTAACAAGAATGAACTTTTGAGGATGACGGGAGAATCTGGATTTAGAGTGATGCTTGTAGTGAGTGGTCCCATGCTAAGTCATATACCTTTTTATCCACTTGTAGACAATTTGTTGAAGCCACATCGCCAATTGGTCTTCCGCAAAGTGTTGCGTCAACGTCTTCATTTCCTCCGATAAATGCGCATTGGGATTCTTTCCGACACATTGATGACATTCTTTGCGTGGATCAGCTTTTTGACAGCCCAAATGATTTCAAAGATGCACTCGTTTTGTTTGGTCTTCGTAATCATTTTCGGTTCAAGTACTTGGACAATAGCAGAAAATATTATAGAGTTGTGTGCGAGGTTAATAATTGTCCATGGAAATTGTCAGCTGGTTGTGAAGGAAGTGGTGATATAGTGAGAATCAAGCGGTTTAATAATGTTCACACTCACACTGCTCAAGACATTTCAGATTATAAAGCCATTTTTTGGTCGAAGGAAATGGGTTGAGCTATTGTGAACAAGGTTAGGGACAATCCTAAATGCACCCCCAAGACTATTTCCACAGACATAAAGGGTGAATTTTCTGCTAAAATGACTTACATGCAATCGTGGAGAGCTAAGGAGTGTGCACGTCATATCATTGAGGGAAATCCCAAGGATAGCTATATTTTAGTCCCGTGGTTGTGTGAACGAATAGCAGAATATATTCCCGGGACAATTACATCGTGGGAGTGCACGGATGATAGGAGATTTAAGTGAGTGTTTGTAGCTTATGGGTGCTCCATACGAGGTTTCATCAACTATTGCAGGCTCATGTTAGCAATCGATGCTTGCCACTTGAGTGGCAATTATAAAGGAACAATGCTTGGTGCAACGGGGTTCGATGCGAATGATGGCTTGTGGCCTTTGGCGTATGCTGTTGTTTCTTCTGAGAATGATGATGATTGGCATTGGTTCTTGAGCAAGGTGAAAGAGATTCTAGATGGTCGCATTGTGACAATCTTAACCGACACGCATCCGAGCCTAATAAGCTGTATTAGAGATATTTTTGGCTCCCAGTACCACTCATGGCGTCTTCGTTACCTAACGGCGAATTTTTCTACATCCATTCTTGGGAGACAAAGTTTAGGATTGAGGGCTTCGGGTAAAGAGCATGCAAAAAAATTACTCGATAAAATTGCATATGTTCGAACTGTAGATGAGTATGAGAATGCATTGGCTACCATGCGGGTATTTCGAGGGGAGTTGTGCGATTGGGTTTTGGCGAATTCACTTGAACATTGGTCAAATGCTTTGTTTACTTCCAAGCGTTGGGATAAATTATACACCAATCAAGCAGAGTCCTTCAATGCATGGGTGAAAGAAGAGAGGGTTTTTTCAATCACAAGGCTGATGGATACACACATACAAAGACTCAACAAATTTTTAAACCAAAAGAGTTTGGATGTTCAGAAGTGGACTATCCCGGTTGGGGATCGTATTGAGGAGAAAATCCAAAAAGAGCAAGAGTTAGCACTTGGTTTTCAGTCGATGCGTGTTTCGCCTACTGAGTGTACAATATATGATCGAGACAGAAAACCATTCAGGGTGGTATTTGGCAGTGAAAATTCTTGTAGTTGTTTAAAGTGGACCATAAGTGGGATTCCTTGTTCGCATGCATGTTATGCCATCCATGAATTATCTTTAAATAATTATGAGATGGTTGATCCATGGTTTAGGGTTGAAACACAACAAAAACTATGCAAACATCTCATGTCTTCTGTCCCCATGCATGATATGCCGAATCCAGCTGCTGTTACTGCTGCTGCTGCTGCTGACGGTGAAGGTGCTTCCCATCTTAGGCCTCCTGCGGTAACACGTCCCCCTGGACGACCTCGTATTAAATGAATCGAATCACAATTTCAAAATGTAAGGTCGTTACACTGTTCGCGATGCAGCGAGAATGGTTATAATCGTCGAAAGTGCAAGGCTCCTATACCTGGATAGAATAGTTTTATAATTGCTAATTCTAGTGGAGTTATTTTGTAAGGTGTTAAGGCCTTAAATATGGAATTATTTTGTAATTACTATTAATTCCTTGGAGCTCCGCTACTGCATTAGTATAACTATGTTGTGATAGTATTTCTAACTTATTTAGAAAACATTTCTAAGTATGATGTAACTTATTCTAAGTTGAATCTGTATTATTCCTTTGGTGGTTTATTTTGGTATTGAAATTATTTTCATGGGTCCTCGTATGAGTCTCATGTGGAGTGTTATTTAAAAATCATAGGTGTGTGAGTTTTCTGGCAGCTGGAGGGTCGTGAAAGCAAGGAGGTTATGGGATTATGTGACAATGGACGAGCTTACATGTTACATGCTTACAGAAGGCTAGGAAAATAACATCATATTAAAGTCATTATGACTTGTTTCCTCACAATGCCAGAGCATGCAATATACTTATTCGCATAAACTATTCTCAGGTGTCTAATTTATCGTATGCGTGCCAGAGAGCGTCAATTAATATAAATAGCTTTTTGAAGTTCAAATCTAGTGTTTATCTTTTTTTATATATCTTTTAATGGAGAATTGTTACAGATATATTTTTCCCCAAAATTTGTACCAGAGCTGATCTTCCTATTATCCTAAATTGAAATATTTTGGGTGAACATATATTTATAGCAAATGTGAGTGATTCTTGTGCTGTATTGGTTATCACAACCGGAGATGGCAGCTTGGTGCCTGTTCAGCTTACTATTATTTCAACCACAATTTACCTCGTGAGTCTCTCTCTTCCTCACTTTCTCTGTGTCTCAAAAATTATATGAACATTGTGTTTACATTATCAACATTGTTTGATAGATGAGGCTGAATGGATAAATCAGTACAAAGGGAGAGTGTTCAGTTTAAACGACAAGCCTGTGGTGCACAAAATTTGGCTGCCGAATGAGGAATGCCCCAGATTGGCAATGTCTAGAGCCTTTGGGGACTACTTTATTAAGGATTTTGGACTTATATCCGTCCCTGAAGTGAGGTGTTGTCACATATAACCAACAGAGACCAATTTGTTGTGTTGCGAACCGATGAGGTATGTATGGCACTTTTTGGTATTTATCACTTGTTCTTTTTTATACAATGACAAAGAAAAAGACTTGTTTGTTTCTCTATTAAATGTCCAAAACCTGTAAAAGATCACGTGAACGAATACGTTTCAAACTCACGAGCATAATTGACAATAATCACTGCAAATTATCTGATATCAGTTATTATTAATGAGTTTACAGGTTTTTATTTTGGCTCAAATTGATTGGATTTTGAAATTAGTATGGATTTTTGAAGTTGATCTTAACATGCTGTGATCCTTGTTTTGTAAGCAGAATCTTTCCTATCTTTTCCATCAAACCTGATTTAATCGGTAAGAAAATTTATTGATTTAAATTGATAGAAGAAAAATTGTGTGTTTAAGCTTCCAATGGACTTGGTTTCATGCAAATTGTTTGAGAATTTCTTTTTTATTGAATTTTCAAAGGGAAGTATGTATTTTTGGGAAAAATTGTTTCAAATAGATTTTTGGGCTTCCTTTTGATTTTTGGTGGTCCAAATAGTCCAATCAATTAAAAAAGTAAAAAAATAAAGAAACAGTAATAAAAAGGATTTTGCTATAATCTTGGCTGACTAGTGTTACCCCATTTATTTATTTATTTTGTTTAGAGTCTTGCTTTTGGTTACTAGCGCCTAATAAAAAAGTTGTCTGCTCATATGTCCCCTATTTTTGAGTTTTTTCATTTAACCATCTCCACTTGTACAATATTTTGGTGTTATATTTTCTTTAATTGATTTGCATGTAGTTCAAATGTAGTCTTCCCGCTAGGGGCTGGGAAAAGACAACAACGGGAGCGTCGATTGCATGGCTATCAAGTACATCAAATTTGTAAGTTATATGGTCTTTATGTTCGATAAAATTCTTTTATGATTGCACATTTGTAATGCTTTTTATACTCATACTCGGGGGGGGTCACATGCCTTTAAGTGACCAATTTTGTGATGTATCTTGAACTTTATTACCTTATTGCTACATCGGCCCATGTGGAGGCCATTTTTATTTCTTGTTTTATAATGTTGAAAGCATGGGAGTATGGGATCATCGTATGTGGAGGTTTTGATTAATTGTTGTGGAGGAGAAGTTATTGATATGTTGTTTAATGAGTTAATGCAAGTTCTCACGTTCTTCGTACATTTAAACTGTAATAAGCGTAAATGCAAGTTCTCACGTTGCCCGCGCTACACGTGTATTAATGAATGACGTAAAAACTTTTTCTGATTTTTGGGAAAGTATAGAGAATGCCAGAGTCCAAACTCGTCTTTTAACATTCCGTATCAAAAATCAATCCCTTTTCGTCCTTAAACACTCCCTATCAGCAGACCCTTTTTCGTCTTCCGCGTTATCAGTCTCCATCAAACGAATCATATTCTTCCACGTTAGCGTCATCTTCCTCTTTCCTTCTCTCTTTGACGCATACATACATAAAAACACCCCGTTCGCTTCTCTCTCTCTCTCTCTCAAGGGTTTCTCAGTTACAACATTTCGCTCTCTAAACCAAACGATCAATGCTAAGCCACGACTCTTAAAATTTTCAGAGTATGTATTTTTTCATCAATTCCTATATATATATATATATATATATATATATATATATATATAATATTTTCATGAACTTTTATTTTTATTTATATTATATTTAATTAGTATAGTCCATTGTTTAGAATTGGTTTTTGAGATTTTATTTAATTTTGTTGCCGATAATAAGTGAGAAAAATGAAAGACTGATTTTAGCTGCTAAAGAATTTTACTAAAAGTCAAGTGGAGTTTTGTTTGTGTTTGAGATAGGCTACTTTTTTTTGTTTTGGTCAAAAAATGTGAGTACATTGCTGATATGGATTGCTAATATTTGTTGACCAAGGTGTATATGTGTGCATTATGCCTTGGATATTGGCGGCACAGACATGTTGCCCCACTAAATTATTATTATTATTTTTTTATTATGTACCTACAAAAATACTAAATTGCCTTGCCTAATCTTCAAAATACACCAGTCTCAGCTGAATCTCAAGTTTCCCATCATTGATTTTGCTAAATTACAAGGTCCAAACAGGTCCCAAGTCCTCAAGTCCCTTACCCATGCTTATGAACAATATGGATTCCAAACAACAAAAAACTGAAAAAGCCATAATATGTAATTAGAATGGTGGAAAAAATTTAGGGTTCGGGTTGAGTCTAGCCCAACTCGAATATGTTTGGATTTTGCTCGGATTGAGTCCAGCCCAACTCGAATATGTTTGGATTTTGACAAAATCCAACCCGAACATAAACCCGATTTCTGAATTTAAAGCCTCAATTTTAAAATTTCTGAGTTGGGCTTAGGTTGGGCTGGGTTAGCCAGCCCAAGTTACAGCCCTAGGTATAAGGGTTATAATTACTTATAGAGCATAATACATTTTGATATGTCGTCTCTTCTATTGTTATGTAAGCATTTGAGCCTACTCTTGCTTCATCTAGTGCATTGATATTAATTGATGTGATCAATTGTGAGCAGCTGTGAATTATAAATGTCTAGACACCATCTCATTACTAGGTGGTTGGAATGGGAGGATGAGTCACGCTTATGGTGGGGTTAGTGTTTTCCTAAAACCAGTTGTGGAATGGATAATTGATAGGAATCACTTGATTTCATAGCTTATTATAAGAAGTTGACCTATTTTGTAGTGAGAAACCAGATATTCGCTTCCTAAAATTCAACCATTCATTAAAGACAGTAGACAAGCTAGAACTTTAGAATTATGTGACCTTAATTTAATGAGAGAGGATTTTGTTTTGGACCACAAAAATAATGTCGGTTCGTCGTTTTAAATTTACTTTAATTTGACAACTGTATTAGAAAATTAAAAGAAACCAAAAACTGTCTTGGTATGGATGATGGCTTTAGGATACTGCTGAAGAAACTACTAAAAAAAAAAAAAAACTGTGTTGGTGTAGGAGTGATCCCGAAGTAGGGTTATTAAAGAAATTAAAGACTCAAAAGGTGATGTTTAACTTCTTATAATCGTGAAATATAGTTGTAGTTTCTTTGTCCAGTTCTTTTATGATCCTGTTTTCTTACCCCTTGCTAAAAATATCCTAAACTGGATCTTGGTTCCCTTTACTATTTAGTCTATTACTACTTACATATCTTGTTCACTGATAATCAAGTTAAATTATACCTGTAGTTGAGAATCCAATATAATTAATTGGTCTCTCTGGGTGTATACCAAAATTTACATGAAAATACAAAACCTTTGGAATAAAATTAGGCGGGTCACGGGGATTTAGACCTCCATTACCCAAATTAATTGTATGGGAAAGCAGTATTGTTTATCAGGAGTAGGCGGAATTAAGTTGCCAAATGCCCAAATTAGCACTAGTCTCTCTTGTCTTGGTTTTGTTTATTTATGTATGTTATTTTGTTCGTACGTTTTGGTAGTAGTTTCTTCGCAACATTTTGTTTGTCAATGATGATGATATCTATTTGATTCATAAATGACAATCTTGTTCTTTCTCTTTTGTGATTAGCATGCTAAATTTGAGACTTGTGTGATGCAGCTACTTCTTGGATTTTGTACCATGGACAATGAGGTGATTTTTTGACAAGTGCAGACTGAAACTCAAGTGCTATAAGGTTTATAAATTTGCTAAACAGTAGTGCTAGGAAATTGATGATATTCTTGACAAATGGATTTTGTTCCTGTTTTGGAACATTGATGAACGGTGAATTGTTTTGGAACTTTAGTAAATGATGAATTTTTTTAATGTAGAATGAATTTTTTGTTGTAGTGATAGGCAAACACCATTCATGCACAACTTGAAAAAGTGA